GTCTTCTAAATATACAATCATGTCATCTGCAAATAGAGACAATTTGGCTTCCTCTTTTCCTAACTGAATATCCCTTATTTCTTTTTCCTGCCTGATTGCTCTGCCTAGAACTTCCAATACTATACTGAATAGCAGTGATGAGAGAGGGCATCCTTGTCTTGTGCCAGATTTCTTAGGGAATGCTTCCAGTTTTTGCCTGTTCAGCATGATATTGGTTGTAGGTTTGTCATAAATAGCTTTTATTATTTTGAGATATGTACCATCGATACCTAGTTTATTGAGGGTTTTTAGCATAAAGTGCTGTTGAATTTTTTCAAAGGCCTTTTCTGCATTTATTGAGATAATCATGTGGCTTTTGTCTTTGGTTCTGTTTATGTGATGGGTTACATTTATAGACTTTGGTATGTTGAACCAGCCTTGCATCCCCAGGATGAAGCTTACTTGATCATGATGAATACGCTTTTTGATGTGCTGTTACTTTCTGTTTGCCAGTATTTTATTGAAGACTTTTGCGTTGGTGTTCATCATGGATATTGGCCTGAAGTTCTCTTTTTCAGTTGTGTCTCTGCCCAGTTTTGGTATTAGGATGATGTCGGTCTCATAAAATAAGTTGGGGAGGATTCCCTCTTTTTGTATTGCTTGGAATAGTTTCAGAAGGAATGGTACCAGCTCCTCTTTGTACATCTGGTAGAATTTGGCTGTAAACCCATCTGGACCTGGGCTTTTTTTAGTTGGTAGGCTATTAATTGCTGCCTCAACTTCAGACCTTTTTATTGGCCTATTCAGGGATTCAACTTCTTCCCGGTTTAGTCTTGGGAGGGTGCAAGACTAAACCCTCCAGTATATCTAGGAATTTATCCATTTCTTCCAGATTTACTGGTTTGTGTGCAGAGTTATTTGTAGTAATCTCTGATGGTAGTTTGTATTTCTGTGGAATCAGTGGTGATGTCCCCTTTATTGTTTTTTATTGCATCTATTTGATTTTTCGCTCTTTTCTTTCTTATTAGTCTGGCTAGCTGTCTATTTTGTTAAACTTTTCAAAAAACCAGCTCCTGGATTTATTGATTTTTTTGAAGGGTTTTTTGTGTTTCTATCTCCTTCAGTTCTGCTCTGATCTTAGTTATTTCTTGTCTTCTGCTAGCTTTTGAGTTTTTTTGATCTTGCTCTTCTAACTCTTTCAATTTTGATGATAGGGTGTTGATTTTAGACCTTCCTTGCTCCTCATTTGGGCATTTATTGCAATGAATTTCCCTCTAGACATTGCTTTAAATGTGTCCCAGAGATTCTAGTATGTTGTGTCTTCATTATCATTGGTTTCAAAGAACATCTTTATTTCTGCCTTCATTTCATTATTTTTAACTTTCTTGATACCATTCAAAATACATGTGTAAGAGCTTCAGCACAGCAAAAGAAACCATTAACAGAGTAAACATATGGGAGAAAAAATTCGCAAATTTTCATCTGACAAAGGTCTAATATCCAGAATCTATAAGGAACTTAAAAAAAATCAATAAGCAAAAACCAAATAACCCCATTAAAAAGTGGGCAAAAGACATGAACGGACACTTCTCAAAAGAAGACATACAAGTGGCCAACAAACATGAAAACATGCTCAGCATTGCTAATCATCAGGGAAATGCAAAATCAAAATCACAGTGAAGTATCATCTCACACCAATCAGAATGGGTTTGTTTTGTTTTGTTTTGAGATGGAGTCTCGCTCTGTCAGGCTGGAGTGCAATGGCATGATCTCAGCTCACTGCAACCTTCACCTCCCAGGTTCAAGTGATTCCCCTTCCTCAGCCTCCTAAGTAGCTGGGAATGGCTATTATTGAAAAGTCAAAAAATAGCAGATGCTGGTAAAGACGTGGAAAAAAGGGAATGCTTATACACTGTGGCAGGAATGTAAACTAGGTCAGACAAAATGGAAAGCAGTATAAAAATTTCTCAAAGAACTAAAAATAGAATTAGCATTTGACCCAGTAATCCTACTACTGGGTATCTACCCAAAGGAAAAGAAATAATTCTATCAAAAAGACAGCTGCACTTGTATGTTTATTGCAGCACCATTCACAATAGCAAAGTCCTGGGATCAACCTAAGTGCCTATCAGGGGTGGATTGGATAAAGAAAATGTGAAACATTCAGACCATGGAATCCTACACAGCCATAAAAAATGAAATCATGTCCTTTGCAGCAACAGGGATGCAGCTGGAGGCCATTATCCTAAGTGAATTAATGCAGGAACAGAAAACCAAATACCACATGTTCTCACTTTTAAGTGGGAGCTAACCACTTGGACATAAAGATGGAAACAGTAAATACTGGGAACTCTCAAAGTGAGGACACAGGGAGGATGGCAAGGGTTAAAAAAGTACCTAATGGGCATTATGTTCACTGTTTGACTGATGGGTTCAATAGAAGCCGAAACCCAAGCATTATGTAATATACCCACATATCAAACCTGCATATGTACACCCTGAATATAATTTTTTTTTTTTAAAAAGATGCGTGTGTGTGAACACACAGCTACATAGAATGCTATGATAAAGAATTCAGAAAAGCCTTCTGGCAATCACTTGCCAATCTCTTCTCTTGGCAAGGTCCATAGTTCACGTGAGGATGCCAAAGGTGGTAAAGACAGCTAGTCATGGCTAAGGATTTCCTGAAGGGCAGGGAAGAAGTGGAATAGGGAATAGTATACGCTACTATTCATAGCTCTCTAAAAATAATCCTAGATTTGCTCCAGGACAGATTCATATTTTCTGTTTTTCTCTAGGACCACCCTTGTTGTGAAAGCACTTAAGATTAAAACAGGCCCTAGAGACACACTAGGTGGAGGAAGCCTTAACCTCCCAGAACTTGAGTCTGGAAGGAGCAGGGGTCTGAGATCTGATCTTTTGCTCTTCTCTAGTCAGTAAGCATCAATTCCTTTAGTCAGGGGACCCACTGATGTTTGGTTTCACTAAAGCTGCCTATGAGTGGACTGAAGAGCAGAGCTAGGATAAGGGGGACAGGGATCAAGGCAAGGAATGAGTACATTAAAGAAATACATATACCACTGGACACTTCACTCATGGCTGGGGTTCAACATGCAGCTCATTTCAATGCTGTCCCATCATACTGCATTAAATAAGTAGTCGCCCTGTTCACTCCCTATTTTTCTTTTCTTATATTAAGGAGTCAACGTTCTCACCTTTCTTTTTCTTGTTATTTTCTCAAATCCCCACTACTTGATAATTATTTTATATTACAATTACCATGTAATGTACCCTGGCTTGTAACTGACTGAGCAGCCATAGGACTCAGTATTTACATATTTCCAGACTTAGCATTAGGAATACTTATGCTCTTACCAGTTATCTAGAACTCTCAAAACTGCTGCTCTTCTGACATTAAAGGTAAGATATAACTCGGTGAACTAGGATTTGTAAATCTTTTACTCTCTAAAACAAGCATTTCTTTTCCCTATAGGTCAAGAACATTGTTGCCTCTAACTGTGCTACTCTTGTAGGACAGTCAAAGTGCAGCTCATTTCAATTCTGTCCCATCATAAAAAGATATGATAATCTCACCTATAAAGAATTGAAAAGGGAGAAATATCATTAGGTGAAGAATAGGTTAAAAGCAAAAGATATAAACCCATTACTTTGGCATAATAATGTTCTACTTGGAGGATATATAAAGATTACAGAAGAGGTTTAAAATGCAGGACAGTACCTTAAGAAAAGATTTTAAAAATTAACAGAATGCAAAACATTATCTTTGACAATAAACTTACCATTTTTGAAACTGAGAATAAATATTTCTCTGTAAAGAATAAACTTGTTTGCCAAGTTTTAATCCGTAAGGATTGGTGGCTCTAAACTAGAAATTAGGATATGATAATTGCTTTTACTCAATTTGTTCTTTTACATTTGTAGAAGTTTTGTGTGAGAGCAAATATATAAGCTAAAAAGCAATGTGCTTAGAGGAAGACTTAGCAATGCTTTGATTATCTCCCTGTTGACTTTGGTTACAATTATTTTAATACATCTAAAGTTAGATTTAATTGAAACAGCATTTTTAACTGGTATCTCTATGTTGCTGGATTTTTTCTTCACATTTCTTTGCCTTATCTGAACTCATATTGCCATTCAGCACAAACTTAATTCCAAGTGTATGGTAAAGCCAGCTCCATATCAGTGACTCTGTTTCCAGACTTTTGCAATTAATAACTCAATGTAACATACAGCAAGAGTGGGGGAAGTTCATGCCTTCATGGGTTTACATCATAGTTACTCATTTCTAATTCTACAGAAGTGGTCAATTACTCATCTCCTTTTTAGTACTAATCTTGTGATTCAAACTAACTTTCTAGGCAAGGAATTTATTCCTGCTGTCCTCAAAATGGCTTTGTTTTCAAGTTAGATATACTTTTTTTTTTCTGATGCCTTCTTTACTTCCTTATTTCCTCCTAAGAAAGACTATAACAGTATTTTTCAATCATTTTGGTCACGGACATCTAAGTCACAAACCTCAAAAAAATGCGTGTTACAGACAAAACTGTATGAACTTTCAGGGAGTTGATGGACCTCCCTGAAGTTCATCCATGTAGTCACAAGGGATCTGTGAACTCTGGATTAAGAGCTTCTGGCCTGATGCATGGTCAGCCCTCACAGGTAGGCTGGTTAGGTTACTCTCTCATCAGAGAAACTAGAAATACCAAAAAAGGGGCTTACTCAAAGCACTGTAAATAGAGGCTTCAGTGTTCCTCTTCCATGGCCATGTGTAGTTTCTTTACCCATTCCCTGTATCCGTTAATTTCTGAACTGGCTGAATCAGAGCTACTGAGTCTTTGGGACCCTGCTTTTTTGTACACTTACCCATATCCTCTCAGCAAGGCAAGAGAGCTCTTATGTGAGTGACAGTGAATTCTTTAACTCCAAATTTGGTTGAGTTTGAAATATTTGCACTAGGGATTACTTCTGCAACTAGCTAATGCTAAGCACTGTTATTACAGGAATGCAGCTGAAAGAATGGCATCTAAAGTTCAGCAGCAGGAATACAACTCTAATGACCCTCCACGTTGGTTTGGCTATGATAGGGAAGGAAACCCTCTTACACAGCCTGATGACATAACATCATCTAAAGGACGCTTAGAATTAACAGTGGAAAAGTCAACATACAGCAGTGAAGAGGAAGCAGCGTGACTTTCAGCCTCAAGCAGGAAGAACAAAAAATCTAGAACTCGGCAAGTTTTCTCCATTTGTTGCAAGTATGTGTACTAGCTGAATCTCAATAATAATGTAAACAAGCAACAAACCATCTTCTGATTCTTATTCCAACTACAAATGTTTCCAAATACATCAGTAGTTCTTCTGTCTAAATAATCATGATTTTAAAAAGAAGCCAAATCAAGTACTGACTACATAAAATTTCTGCCTAAATTTAATCAAACCAATAGTTTTGATGAGATTATAAAATCTAAAGTTATAGTTATATGAAACAACCCTGAGAGATGCGACTTTTTTGACAAGAAATTAAGAAATTTTTCTTTCAAAGGGAAAAAGATGGAGATGGCCATTATGTCAAACTAAGAATTTGAGCCAGGGCAACAACTTCAAGGACCTGTGATGTTTTATAAAGCTTTATAAAGAATACAGACATATATTAATATTTTCAAAGGAATGGGGCTTTCCTGTGGTTTCCAGACATTTAATAACAAAAGAGAACTAAATGCTGCCAGTTAACTCTGGACTTATCTCAACATTTGACTTAGCAGTCAGGGGCAAATTAAATAGAAACAAGAATATCTGAATAGAAAGAATGTCCCTGCAATGTCTCAGAAAGATATCTCTTTAATCAAATTTGCACCATGGAGGAATTCTTAAAACTATGCTATACCAAAAAAGATGCTCCCTCAATTTTATGCTACTAAGTAAGGGTTACTAATTGCATATCTACATACTAATTTTACTAAGCTTTAATCTGTGGGTTTTTACTATTAGTTGATATTATATAACACTGATGCTGACACAGTCCAAGGAGAAAGCACAACTCTGTTTTGACTGCCACAAACCAGCTGTGTTAGTAATAGCAGATCAGTTTTAACCTTTCTGTTTCCTCAGTTACTTATCTCTCACATGGATTTAATTATCTTTTTGTTTCCCACAAGTTTCATATAAGGATTAAAAACTTAAGATAAAGCATTGTTATTTTGAAAAATTTTGAAAAGACTGTACAAAGTATTATTAGAGGTTACCTTGTATTAGCTAAATGCATTTAGCAATTATCCTCCACTGAGGTTGATTTGTAGTTTTTGAAATAAGGTAGTATTACTTAGCTGCGGAAAGTTTCCTGGGAGGGGACACACTGGTAACAGAATCATTTCAGTGGGAAGTTTTAGGACCACAGCCAAGAGACATAAGATGACATAAGAGTACGATTTTAATCTAAATTTGGAAATTTCTGGTGGCTGCATTAGAGTTAATTTCAAAAATCTGATCCCTAAGTGCCTCATGCACACAACTGGAGGAACTTATAAAAGAGGCAGTTGCTTTCTATAGGAATGACAGCTGCACTGGGGAGACCACGGTAAGAAACACACCCTGTTGTGTTCTCCAGAAACCTAGCAGGTTGCTTTATATTCGGAGCTTGCTCCAAAGCTCTTTAAGTAACATCCTCTTTTAAACAAGAACAGAAGACACATTCATTCATCCTGGGGAGACAAATTTTATAGCTACGTACATGAAGAAAAGGAGTAGAAAAAGTGAGCTATGAAAGAAGACCAAGAAGTAAAGTTTACAGGTAGAGAAATCTTTTAAGTTCTCAGTGCAAAGTCCTCAAAATATCAAAGATACTAGTTAAGTCTTTAGCCCTTAAGCATTTCATATTCATAGGTCTGTGTCCAAGAGAGTAAAATATGGCAGCTTTTTCTTTTTGTCTGGGACTTAACAATGTGATCCAAATATGTACAATTCCATTGTTGACTGCTGTTATGCTTATGACTTTCCTGGATGTGGTTGGCTTATTTATTTATTTATTTATTTATTTATTTATTTATTTATTTAAGATGGGGTTTCACCATGTTGGTCAGGCTGGTCTTGAACTCCCAACATCAGGAGATCCGCCCGCCTTGGCCTTCAAAGTGCTTGGATTACAGGCGTGAGCCACCATGCCCGGCCGGCTAATTTATTTTTAGTCATGAAAATGTTTATATAATTGCATGAAGGTGAAAAAAGATGATAAAAATTGCCTCAATGCCTCACAGTTTCCTCTACTTAATAGTATAACACACCACAACCAAACCAAATATACCAACATTTAAGTATCTTTCAAATTTGTATTCATTCTGATTTAATGAAGGGTGAACTAAAAGGAGACGTTGCAATAGCCTATAAAGCCAACTTTTGTTTCATAAATAAGAAGCTAAAAACAGAATTCTGAAAACATGGAATATTAATGAAAAGGAGGCTGGGCACAGTGGTTCATATCTATAATCGCAGCACTTTGGGAAGCCAAGGCAGAAGGACAGATTATGGCCAGGAGTTTGAGACATGATGAACATAGTAAGACCCATCTCTACAAAAAATTAAAAAATTAGAGCAGGTGTGGTGGTACCTGTCTATAATTCCAGCTACTCAGGAGGCTGAGGCAGGAGGATGCCTAAGACCAGGAGCTCAAGGCTTCAGTGAGCTAATGATCATGCCATTGCACTCCAGCCTGGGCAACAGAGTAAGACCTCACCTGAAAGAAAGGAAATGATCATCATAAATCATGATATTTGGAAAGGTTTGTTAAAAATTAGTGTTTAAGAATGGACTACTCCTAGCCCAACATACTGGCTCACACCTGTTATCGTTGCACTTTGGGAGGCTGAGGCAGGCATTTGAGGCCAGGAATTCAAGACCAGCCTGGCCAACATGGTGACATTTTTACTAGAGATAACTCTAGTAAAAATACAAAAATTAGCTGGGCATGGTGGCATGTGCCTCTAATGCTAACTACTCTGGTGGTTGAGGCACAAGAATCTTGAACCTGGGAGGCAGAAGTTGCAGTGAGCCAAGATTGTGCCACTGCACTCTAGCCTAAGTGATAAAGCAAGTTTCTGTCTCAAAAAAAAAAAAGACTTGTCTTCATCATAAAAAATATAATCCAAGTGATTTAGGCCATTCTTGTTTTGCTATAAAGGAATATCTGAGACTGGGTGATTTATAAAGAAAAGAAATTTAATTGACTCATGAGGTTTAATTGGTTCTGCAGGCTGTGCAACCATCGCACAGGGATCTGCTTGGCTTCTAGGGAGGCCTCAGGGAGCTTTTACTCATGGCAGAAGGCAAAGTGGAGCAGTCACATCACATGGCAAGAGCAGGAACAAGAGAGAGATAGGGAAGATGCCCACACTTTTAAACAGACCGTGCAAGAACTCACTATCACGAGGACAGAACCAAGAAGGTGGTAGTAACAATGAGAAATCTGCCTGCATGATCCAATCACCCCCGCCCAGGCCCCACTCCAACATTGGGGATTACATTTCAGCATGAGATTTTGGGGGACAGATATCCAAACTACATCACTAAGAGATAGGTCTAGTCAGTATTATATAACTTATTTATTTATTTTAATTAATTAATCGATTAATATTTTGAGACAGAGTCTCACTCTGTCACCCAGGCAGGAATGCAGTGGCATGATCTCGGCTCACTGCAACCTCCACTTCCCAGGTTCAAGTGATTCTCCTGCCTTAGCCTCCTGAATAGTTGGGATTACAGGGATGAGCCACCATGCCCTGCTAATTTTTTTTGTTTTGTTTTGTTTTGTTTTTCTAGTAGAGATGGAGTTTCACCATGTTGGCCAAGCTGGTCTCAAACTCCTGACCTCAATGATCTATATGCCTTGGTCTTCCAAAATGCTGGGATTATAGGCATGAGCCACTGTGCCCAGCCAGTATTATATAATTTAAATGTTCCAGGAATAGAGACATTTGAAAGAAATGGAATTCATAAAATATCTTTATACAATATACCATTTTCTTATATCAGGCTATAGAATAGCTATTTCTTTCCTCCTAATGAACTGTATCTTAAATTACACAAAAGATATTAAGAATCAGTAGCAAATGCTTCACATATGTTTTTTATTCACAGCTTCAATTTACATTGATGGCATAAGAGGTACTAAGTAGAAAACCTGTCATGTGAGAGCTACATTATAAAAAATTTTAAGCTAATTGCACCCCCCTATGACAAATGCCTTTGTATAGTCTCCTTCCCTTGAGTGGGAGTGGAAACTGAATATGATAGGCCATCACTCCCATGAATGTTACATTATATGACAAAACAAAGGTTATCTTGGGTGGGCCTGACCTAATCAAGTGAGCCCTTTGGGAGTATATATTCTTCCAGCTGGTTGCAGAAGTCAGATATTCAAAGCATGAGAAGAACTCAGTTCATCACTGCAGGCTTAAAGATAGAAGGGCAACATGAGAAGACATGTGAGTGGCCTCTAGAAGCTTAGAGTGATTGATGGCTGACAGCCAGCAAGAAAATGGAGACCTCGGGCCGGGCACGGTGGCTCAAGCCTGTAATCCCAGCACTTTGGGAGGCCGAGGTGGGTGGATCACGAGGTCAAGAGATTGAGACCATCCTAGTCAACATGGTGAAACCCCGTCTCTACTAAAAAAAAAATACAAAAAATTAGCTGGGCATGGTGGCGCGTGCCTGTAATCCCAGCTACTCAGGAGACTGAGGCAGGAGAATTGCCTGAACCCAGGAAGCGGAGGTTGCGGTGAGCCGAGATCGCACCATTGCACTCCAGCCTGGGTAACGAGTGAAACTCCGTCTCACAAAAAAAAAAAAAAAGAAAGAAAATGGAGACCTCAGTTATCCAATCACAAGGAACTGGATCTTCCCAATAATCTGAATGAACTTGGAAGTAGATTTCTTCCCAGGGACTCCAGATGAGAACTCAGTCTGGCCAAAATCTTGATTCCAGACTTTTGATTCCCCTATCAAAAGAGAACCTATCCATACTGGGCTCTTGGCTTATGGAACTGTGAGCTGTAAATGAATATTATTTTATGCTTCTAAATTTGTGGTAATTTGTTACAGATCAGTAGAAAATGAATACAATAGCCAAGTACAAATTTTGATTTTTTTTTTTTTTTTTTTTTTTTTAAGGACGGGGTTTCACCATGTTGGCCAGGCTGGTCTAGAACTCCTGACCTGGTGATCCACTCGCCTCAGCCTCCCAAAGTGCTAGGATTACAGGCGTGAGCCACTGCGCCCGGCCAAGTACAAATTTTGCAAAAGCCTACCAAAACAGTTCACCAGTATTCATTCTCAATTTGTTCTTTTCAACATGTATATGAACAGTGGTATTTACATTTTTGTAGTCACAGATATGCAAATCATTGTTAAAAATCATAACTACAACCTCAAATCAGTCTTAGTCCTGCAGTTTCAGGGACTGAAACCAGCTTTGCCTTCTAAAACTTATAGTCCCTTTTGGAGCATCAGCCTTAATCCATTTTTCATGTTTGCTTGCTTGATTCATGAGTCCTAAAACAAAAAATTGCATAAAGTTATATCAAGAGCAGTAATTGACCACATAGATCCTAGCAACATATCTATAAAACTGAACAACGCCTTAGAACACCAAGCATCTTGGTAAAGATAGTCTGAATTGGGAAAGAGTTGCAAAGAGATCATCTGGGCTTGCTCCCTTCCGTTATTTTCTCAGAACAACCCTGAGAGGGAGGGTACTCTGTGTGTTTTGTTTTGTTTTGTTTGAAATGAAGTCTCACTCTGTCGCCCAGGGTGGAATACTGTGGCATGATCTCAACTCACTGCAGCCTCTGCCTCCTGGGTTCAAGCAATTCTCTGGCCTCAACCTCCTGAGTAGCTGGGACTACAGACATGTGCCACCATGCCTGGCTAATTTTTTTATATTTTTAGTAGAGACAGCGTTTCACCATGTTGGTCAGGCTGGTCTTGAACTCCAGACATACCTCAGGTCATCCACCCACCTCGGCCTCCCAAAGTGCTGGGATTACAGGTGTGAGCCACTACCCGCAGCCAACTGTGTTTTATTTGTACAGGATGAATATCCCTTATCTAACATGCTTGGGACCAGAATTGTTTCAAATTTCACATTTTTTTTGAATATTTGAAGAAGACATACCAGTTGAGTATCCCTAATATGAAGATCTGAAATCCAAATTACTCCAATGAGCATTTCCTTATTTCATATTTTAAAGCATTTCAGATTTTGGATTAGGAATGTTCAACATTTATTATTTTTAAATGCAGTCTTTAAAAAGCTTTATTGGAGTATAACTGACAAAATAAACTACATGTACTTAAAGCGTACAATGTAGTAAGTTTTGACATAGGTAAAAGTCTGAATCATCTCCTTAATCAAGATAGTGAACAAAGCCATCACTCTCAAAAGTTTGTATTCCATTGTGGTCTTTCCCTCATGCCCCTCCCTTCCTGTCACCCTCCAACAGCTTTGTGGCACTATGGATTAGTTGCTGTTTGTAAAATCTTATATAAATGGAGGTATACAGTTATGCACTTAAAAAAAAAATCCGTCTTCTTTCATTCAGCATGATTATTTTGAGGTTCATCCACAGTGGACCATGTGTAGGTAGTTTCCTCAACACTTGCTCATTAGTACTTGGCTGAATGTTCATGGCACCCTCCGCAATCTGCTCTGTGCAGCTTCCTCCCCTCTGGAACTCTCTTTTGTGAACTCTGGGTATCTTTGGTCTCCCCAGAAGCTCTGCTCACTCAGTCTCCTCCACTCAAGGAGTCTGCTGGGCTCTGCCTGTGCAATCTCTCCCTGCCCTGCAGCCCAGAAACTTGTTCAAGGTCATTGACTGTGGCAATCACAAAGCTCCCCTTGTTTGTTTCTCAGATCTTTTCTCCTAGTTCTATGTTTTCTTTACAAATCAAGGTTATAAAGGTTTATATTTCCTCTGGAGTTCCACTGCAGTTCTGGGTTTAAGAAACCAGACAAATTGAGACAGAACAGGGACCCTTTGTAGGGGCCTGTGGGCTCTCCTCAAGCACAAAAATTAAAATATATATATATATATATATTGGGTTCCTTAAAAGATTCCAGGCACCTACTTAAGTAAACTCCTGCACTTTGGGAGGCCAAGGCAGGTGGATCACCTGAGGTCAGGAGTTTGAGACTCCCTGGTCAACATGGTGAAACCCTGTCTTTACTGAAAATATAAAAATCAGCCAAGCTTGGTGCCAGGCGCCTGTAATCCCAGCTACTCGACAGGCTGAGGCAGGAGAATTGCTTGAACCTGGGAGGTAGAGGTTGCAGTGAGCTGAGATTGCGCCATTGCACTCCAGCCTAGGTGACAAGAGTGTAACTGTGTCTCAAAAAAAAAAGCAAATGAGCAACTTAATAAACAACAGCAAATAGCACCCAAATAGCTTAAAACAACAGCCAAAAAGGTTAAAATCATAAATGTTTTGTTTTTTATTAAAAAAAAAAAAAGACAAAATCTGAACCTATGTATCTGAGTTGTTTCTTGGAAACCCAGACCCCCACCAAACAGATCTGCTGGCAAATAGACTTCAGATAAGGGTAAACTGAAGACTAATCTCTGACCATTCTACATTTCTCAGGGGCCTGCAGGAGGTGTCATCCACGAGCCAGAACTAACATTCTTTTCTGTGGATCCCAAATTTTTAGATAAAGCTTCACTTTGTAAACCAGCCAGAAATCAAAAAAATCTTTAAATACACCTATAACCTGCAGGCCCCCTGCTTCTGGATATCTTGCCCTTTTAGGTGAGAACAATACATAACCCCCATGTATCAATTTATGATTTTGCCTATAAAGCCGTTAATTCATTCCTTTTTATGGCTAAGTGGTATTCCATCATATATATATCACAGTTTTTTAATCCACTCATTGATTGGCATCTTTTCATATAATGACTTTTTTCCTCTGGGTAGATACCCAGTAGTGGGATTACTGGATCAGATGGCAGTTCTACTTTTAGTTCTTTAAGGAATCTCCAGACTGTTTTCCATGGTGGTTACACTAGTTTACATTGGGGTTGGTTCCCCAATTTTGCAATTGCAAATTGTGCTGGGTAGATACCCAGTAGTGGGATTGCTGGATCAGATGGGAGTTCTACTTTTAGTTCTTTAAGGAATCTCCAGATTGTTTTCCATGGTGGTTGTACTAGTTTACATTCCCACCAGCAGTGTAGAAGTGTTCCCTGAGTACCATATCCACATCAACATCTATTGTTTTTTGATTTTTTGATTATGGTCATTCTTGCAGGAGTAAGGTGGTGTTGCATTGTGGTTTTGATTTGCATTTCTCTGATCATCAGTGATGTTGAGCATTTTTTCATATGTCTGTTGGACATTTGTATGTGTATAATCTTCTTTTGAGAATTGTCTATTCATGTCCTTAGCCCACTCTTTGATGGGATTGTTTTTTTCTCACTGATTTGAATTCATTGTAGATTCTGGATATTAGTCCTCTGTCAGATGTATGGATTGTGAAGATTTATTCCCACTCTGTGAGTTGTCTGTTTACTGACTGTTCCTTTTGCTGTGCAAAAGTTCTTTAGTTTAATTAAGTCCCAGCTATTTATCTTTGTTTTTATTGTATTTGCTTTTGGGTTCTTGGTCATGAAATCCTTGCCTAAGCCGATGTCTGGAAGGGTTTTTCTAATCTTACCTTTGAGAATTTTTATAGTTTCAGGTCTTAGATTTAAGTCCTTAATCCATCTTGAGTTGACTTTTTTATAAGTGTTCTCTATTTTGTTCCATTGGTCTATGGGCCTATTCTTATACCAGTACCATGCTGTTTTTGTGACTATGGCCTTATAGTATAGTTTGTAATCAGGTAATGTGATGCCTCCAGATTTGTTATTTTTGCTTAGTCTTGCTTTGGCTATGTGGGCTCTTTTTTGGTTCTACAGAATTTTATAACTGTTTTTTTCTAACTCTCTTAAGAATGATGGTGGTATTTTGATGGTGATTGCATTTAATTTGTAGATTGCTTTTGGCAGTAGGTTTATTTTCATAATATTGATTTTACCTATCCATGAGCATGGGATGTGTTTCCATTTCTTTGTGTGGTCTATGATTTCTTTCAGCAGTATTTTGTAGTTTTCCTTGTAGAGGTGTTTTGCCTCCTTGGCGAGGTATATTCCTAAGTACTTCATTTTTTTTTTTTTTTTTTTTTTTTTGGCATCTATTGTTAAAGGGGTTGAGTTCTTGATTTGATTCTCCACTTGGTTGTTGTTGGTGTATAGAAGAGCTACTGATTTGTGTACATTAATTTTGTATCTGGAAACTATGCTGAATTTCTTTTGTCAGTTCTAGGAGCTTTCTGGAGGAGTCTTTAGGGTTTTTGAGGTAAACAATCATATCATCAGCAAACAGTGACAGTTTGACTTCCTCTTTACCAATTTCAATGCCCTTTATTTCTTTCTCCGACTGCTGTAACTAGGACTTCCAGTACTATGTTGAAGAGGAGCGGTGAGAGTGGGCATCCCTGTCTTGTTCAGTTCTCAGAGGGAATGCTTTCAACTTTTCCCCACTCAGTATTATGGTAGCTGTGGGTTTGTCATAGATGGCTTTTATTATATTGAGGTGTGTCCCTTGTATGCCAATTTTATTGAGAGTTTTAATCATGAAGGGATGCTGGATGTTGTTGAATGCTTTTTCTGCATCTATTGAGATGATCATGTGATTTTTATTTTTAGTTCTGTTTATATGGTGTATCACATTTATTGACTTGCATGTGTTAAACTATCCCTGGGATAAAACCCACTTGATCATGATGGATTATCTTTTTGATATGTTGTTGGATTCTGTCAGCTAGTATTTTGTTAAGAATTTTAACATCTATGTTCATCAGGAATATCAGTCTGTAGTTTTCTTTTTTGGTTGTGTCCTTTCCTGGTTTTAGTGTAAGAGTGATGCTGGCTTCATAGAATGAATTGGGGAGGGTTCCTTCTTTATCTCGTGGAATAGTGTCAGTAGGATTGGTACCAATTCTTTGAATGTCTGGTAGAATTCTGCTGTGAATCCATCTGGTTCTGGACTTCTTCGTTGTTGTTGTTGTTAGTTTTTTTTTTTTTTTTTTTTTTTTTTTTTTGAGACGGAGTGTCGCTCTTGTTACCCAGCAATGGCGCGATCTCGGCTCACCGCAACCTCCGCCTCCTGGGTTCAGGCAATTCTCCTGCCTCAGCCTCCCGAGTAGCTGGGATTACGGGCACGCGCCACCATGCCCAGCTAATTCTTTGCACCTTTAGTGGAGACGGGGTTTCACCATGTTGACCAGGATGGTCTCGATCTCTCGACCTCATGATCCACCCGCCTCGGCCTCCCAAAGTGCTGGGACCACAGGCTTGAGCCACCGCGCCCGGCCTGTTGGTAGTTTTTAAATTACCACTTCAATCTCGCTGCTTGTTATCGATCTGTTCAGGGTATCTAATTCTTCCTGATTTAAGCTAGGAGGGTTGTATCTTTTCAGGAATTTATCCATCTCTTCTAGGCTTTCTAGTTTA